AGTCCAGAGATCTTCCAACCCCCAGGCTGCCCGAGCAGCCCGGAAGCAGCAAGACCCCGAACCAAGCATTGCTATACAATATTAATCCTTTCTGGGCTGTCGAACCGTGACGTCACCTGATATGCCAGCTTGGCAGCTGAGCAGAGCAGTAGACAAAACATGAAGAAAATAATGTGTGTGGCTGTTGTTTTCGTGGTGTGTATCTAAAACAATTTGACATAACATTACACATTAAGACAAATATTATGGTTACTTTTACCGTCATAATAACATTTGTCCCTGACTTGAGCCTTTCTCTGCTTTTTAACTAACCTTGCATTTAACATCCTGAGGAGACATCCTGGCTACACTAAACATCTTCTAATACAACAGATCTCTAATCCATATCTATCTAACTAAGAAATTAACCTAACACCAATATCTATCTGACTAAAAATACCTAACAAGGGCTCATTACATACACAAGGAGGTTGACAGCAAAAAGCACTCACAAGGACAAGATCTTTATAATTAGATAAGGCAGGTGCAGAAAATCAGCTATAGGAGAGGAAGTGGGTCTGATTTTATGACAAATAAAGTATCTTATTTAAAAAATGTCAAGGCCTAAGGCACAAAGTTCCAGTCTTCACTCACAGTGTTTATCAATTTCTGACTGTGAGGTCACATGTCATCCTCTGCCTCACTCTCCCCCTGGACTCGTAGATTGAGCTAAAAGGCATGGCTGAGAGTCACCGGCTCAGCTCCAGCTGTTTCACCATCAGGCTTCAGAGTATTTGGCTGGGGCTCTGCCACCTCTTCCTTTGCCAGTCTTTTTTAGTTGTCCTCGCAACACTTCACTGGCTGACCTTCAACTAAGAGTTTCTGTCCACTAATTGTTACCTGTGAGATTCCTGAACCATAGCTCTGTTACGTCCAGTCTTGCTGAGCTCCTTACTTGCTCTGTCGCTCTGCTCTGATTTGGGTTTCTCAGCCAGCTGACCCAGGACCATCAGCTCCGCTGCCTGCACTCCTTTCAAGTAAGCCTAACCCTCAGTCATTACCTGTTGTGCAGCTCCGAGCTGTCTCCTCCTGTCTGTTTGAACAAGTTTCTTCGTACAAGCCAGCATGAGCTTGCACTCCCTGTTCCTCTGAATTTGCAACTCTAGTTAACCACACCAGCCTAAGCTCTGCTCCAGCTACTCCAGCAAAACTGTAAGATTTGAGTCTTATAGACTCTAGTTACTTTATCAGCTTTAGTTACTTCTCATGCCTTTAGTTCCCTTTAGTTACCTTTCATAACTTTATCTTACCTGATTACAGCTGTATTGGTTATCGTGCAGAACTACTGAGCTCTGGTTATTTTCTAATACATTTATTTTCCTTGCATGTATATTTTCCAATTGTACTGATGAGAGTCAAGTGATACTGAAGTAGAAACTGACTACTTTAACTTCTGTGTACACACAGTAGTTGTATTCATGAAGTCCTGCTTTGTCTTGTAATGGGATTGCACAGAAAGGGGGTCTGCAGCGCCGAGGACCCATTGTTCAGCTGCCGCCTGGACAATCACATGACAACACACACACACCTGGTGTAGATCACATTCCAGCAAGGAGGTGTGAGTTCCAGCTCACCAAATGACCAATAGGATTACAATGCATGAATTGTTGTACCTTTGTTGAGTGCAGAGCAGCCCAAGAAGATAAAATGTATTGTAAGACCTGAATTCGAGGTCAGTGGATGGAACTCCTGCGGGAGCTCTGTCTCTCTGATCCCAGCACTGTAAGGCCTACCTGTGATCAAACATGCAGTAAACTTTGCGCTGATTTTAAACAGTCCTCTCCTGTCGTCACTTCTCGTGCTTCCAACAAAAGAATTGGGTTA